GAGATATCGTTCGAGCTCGTCTGGAAGTGAGAGGCCGGTGTTGGAAATTAGGATGTTGCCGAGGTGCACATCTATAACCAACGTCAACGCCCCAGTAGCCTATGTGTATCAGCGATCTTTGGTGTGGCGAGAGCGAACACGTACCAGTATGTACGATCTTCAAACTGTGTAGAGCCTCGAGACAGGTAAGCAACGCGTGCATACTATTGCGAGCCATATACACCGGCAGTCTCTTGAACGGCGCAGCTCGTCTCATGGTGCCCAAAGACCCGCTACACAGCGTTTGAACGAGACACAGATGTTTGTCCTCGACAAGGAAGCTATCGTGCAGCCTCGTCAAGTGACCGAATGAATCCCATGGGTTCAAGCCCAGACGCTGTTCCTGCCTCTGTTATCTTCTGCATGAATTCCAGCTCACGAGGTGGTCCATCTGGCTCAGCCGTATGCTCGGCGCTGAGAATCTTCGCTGCGTGAAATTGTTTGGCGCTGCAACAAGTGAAGTCAGCGAAGACCCGATCTTAAGGAAAAAAAATGGGGAAGCTCACCCCTCAGAATCGCGAACCAACCAGGTTATGGACGTCGTATCTTCACCCAGCTTCCTAACCAGTGTGTATCGTCCATCCTTCAGCGTGCTTCCAAGTGAACCATTATAGTGAGTAGTCGTCTTGTCCGCCATCACTGCCGTAACGGAGAGATTTCTTCGAGTGAGCTGGGCACCATGAAGGTGGAGTGAACACGAGGTCGTGAGCTTCACTCGTAGACTCAGAAAGCCAACGCGACGAAGAGTCATGTGGGCGTAGTGCGCGACGGTGAAGGACAGGCGCTAAATAGGTGAATGAGTCAAAGAAGCTTTCGAGATGGTGGAGGAAGACAACCCTAGTACACATTCACGAAGCGCCGAGTATCTCAACCGATTGACTTGCACGCTGCCACCAATTGTCCAGTACTTCTTGCTTGATACGTGCAGAGATGGCGTCCGGCAGCCAGAAGACTGGCAGAGAAAAATGTGACGAATAATGTATTACTGGTTGGGTGATATGCTTCCATAGTATGTTAACCAAAACCAAAGGGGAGAAGAAAACGCTACGTTGACGCAGAAGGAAGAAATGGCACCACCACACGACAAGGTCCATCTGACAGTAGCGACACGGTCCATTGGACAGTAGCCTCAACCGCCTCCATAAATCATGCACGACGAATCATGCATGCACCCGCTGCTTTTCCGACGGCGCCGCCAAGCTCCCTTCAGACCCTCCCATCCTCTCGCAGATCTCCTTCGCCTCGCGGTGGAAGGTGTCCAGCAGACCAATAGGCTGGCCAGGAAGGAGTAAGCTAGGCAGAATCCGGGTATGGAACAGGCGGTGAGCCGTCGATCCTCCCTACACACAAAAGCACCCATCAGCCAACCATCCACACCAAGCGAGATGTTCTGAGTACTCACAAACTGATGGAACACCCCACCCATAATCGACGCGACCGCATCTCCCTGAATCTTGTACAGACCCACGTCCCTCACCAGCCTCCCCTTCTCCTCGCCCGACGCAGGTGCGTTTTTCCACCGGTCGGCTTTGACGGTGGGAGTCCACCTGAGGTTACGACCAATGCCCCACGCGGATCCGACGTGTTCGCCGAGAATGTAGGTGTTGAGGGTGCGAGAGGTGATGAGCTCGAAGTCGTGTGACGGATGGAGGGAGGAGCAGGAGGTGAGGAAGAGCGAGAGGTAGGATTCTAGAACGCGGCGGCCTGTAACGTGAAGAGGTTTGGTGGTTAGCAGTGAAAAAATGAGAGAGAGAGAGAGAGACCAATGCTCACCAATGAATCCGAAACCGCCGTTATGCCCGTCAATAGCGGCGGGATGGCTGGCATGCGTCAACAACCGCTTGGCCAGCTCCTGAGGAAACTCCAAGCCCGGGAACAGCCCATTCAGATGTTCTGTCAAATGCTCCGTGTTACCCCACCTCGACCCAGTCTCCATGGAAGAAGAGGACGAGGAGGAACCAGTAGAGCTGGAGAGCGGAAACTCGGAAGCGTCAATGTCATGCTCCTCCACACCCTCTGCGTAATGCTCCTCCTCCCTCTCCCGTCGCGGTTGGTCCCGTCTGACTGAGCGCATGGCCTGTGCAGACCGACAGGAGGAGTACGTCGAGAACTGGTGCTGTTGAGTCTGCCCACCTCGTGCAACTCGGTGTAGGCATTTTCGTGATGCTGTGAACCATATTCGTCAGTTCTGTCGATGTGGTGAGGTGTGTGAAGGTGTCGTACTCTGTGTCGTCCTTGGAACGCTGGCCTTTAGAGACGAGAGGAGGCGAAGGGGACGCGACATGGATCAAGGTGGACGAGGTAAGCGGTAGAAAGAGAGACGAGACGAGGACGAGGACGAGCAAACGGAGACGGTGGAGAAAAATGTTGATCACGTGTGCCAGAACTCTCCATCTTCGCTTCGACGACCATCATCGCCGTCCCATCCTCCGCCTAACAGCAAAGTCGTTTACCGTCTGAACTAAGCCTGAACCTCGAGGGGTAAAAGAAGCTGCTGGCCCTATTCTTGAAGCTACTCCCGTCCAAATAAAAGTGCCTGTGCTCTCGATGTTATCCCCTTATCGACATGATTGGCCCTCACCGATGGTCCAAACGCATCCAAGAACGCATCAACACCTCACCAGCAATAATCCAATTCTCCATTCTATCTTCCTCCATTCCATGCCAGCACTCCACTACAAACAGCACCGGGCACTCTCCATTATTGTTCTCCTCGTTTCAGGATCCAACTGAATACATCTGGTGACCGGGACCCGCCCCCCGACGCGCCCAACGAGCTGAGTTTTGTGTATTGTCCTTTCATCTCCGGCGTCGCGCATGTTATCGTTTGGTTTGCATTTCCAAACTCCTGTCAGTGTCCACGTTCATTTGCATTTCGCTCGAGCCAACGATGGCCAAAACCTCTTCAGCGCCTTTCAATCGGATTTGTACCTCCTGTTTTGCCGCAGCATACAATATTATTCTGAGTGCTGACTCCAACCACGACCTTGTGAAATCCACCGTACCTTCAATTTCGCAACGAGGCAAGGCGCCATCACACCAAATCCTATATCCCCATTGTCCTTTTTGTTCTTTCTGCCATGGGCGCTCCGGGCTTATATTCCTCTCCCATACCCGTTCCCTCGAATCGTCAATCCCCTCCCTTTCCCTGCTTCTTACTCCCACGCCCGCGTCAAGCAGCTCAAGAAGCTCGCGGCGGCGATGTCCACTTACTATCACAGTACCACGAACAATGCGGAGGAGCATATCGTCATCCCCGACTTCCCCGCCCTCTGTCCCTTCACTCCATCCCCTCCGAGCCAGCTCTACAGATCGGTATTCCCCAGCGAATGGCTCAGCTCTCTCAAACAAGCTCGTTCACGTTCACGCTCTCGACGTAGCACCACACCGAATTCGATCCGCCATAGAACCAGCGATTCCACGGCAGATCGATTCGGGTTGCTCGCAGCCTTATGCTACCCCGACGCAAAATCCGCCGACCGACTCTGGGTCTGCGCTCAACTCCTCGCACTCGTGCATAGGATATGCGACGTCGCTGATTCTCTCAGCCCTACGGGAGACGACTCGGACGAAGAGTGGATGGGGCTCAGGGTTGTTCGCGTGATGCAGGGTGTCGAAAAGGCTGGGAAGGGGGACGAATCGTGGTGCAGGTATGCCAAGCTTGTCATTCTCCCCTCCTCCATGTTCTGAATCTCTTGGAAGCTAACGAAGTGACCAGAGCTTGGAATGGGCTCCGTCTTACGTCCCCAACACATCTCGCCCAATGCATCCTGCATGCTATCACCGGCCTCGTCGCCGCACGCACGCACCAGATACGGTTGTCCGGAGGAGGTGTGGTGCCGGACGTGGAGTCGTACGTACAGTGGAGAAGGGAGGCAGGTGTGGCGGAGATGGCGTTCGCGCTGATTCCTTATGCGTATGGATTGGACTTTGACCCGGAGCTTGAGATGGAGATAGAGTTGAGGGAGATGACGGGGCTGGCGGGAGATCTCATATCCTGGTCGACTGTAAGTTCATCGTACATTCTGTCTGGATACCTCTAGCAGGCCCTGATACTCTTCATTGATCGTTGCAGGACGTCTACGCATACAACACATCTCGCCCCACCTCCAACTTCCACAACCTCGTCTCCGTCCTCTCATTCTCGACCAACTCTCCCCATCCGCAGGAGTCCATCGATCAGATCGAGGCGCTATTCGCGCAGACGATGAATGAGTTTTCGGAAGTGAAGGAGCGAGTACGCGAGCTTCACGATCTCGATGGATTTCAAGGGGGGATGGACGTCCTTGATTCGCCGGAAGTGTATGTGAAAGGACTGGAAGACTGCATCGCCGGCTTCCTACATTGGTCCTTCGAGACGAGACGTCATTTCGGGGCTGAGAGGAGGAAGGTGAAGAAGAGGAGAGTCCTTAGGTTGCTCCTTGCGATGTTTGCTTAACTCATTCGTTGTCTCCGGAACCTGCGACGTGGTGACTGAGAGTAGTCGGTAGGCTTTGAGCTGTTTCGGCTGCCGTTTGTACATTCTTTCGACTTGTATGACCCTGATGACTTTCTGAAAATCTAGCCCCCTTCGACCTTCTGGCTGCATGCTGACGCTAGTTTTACGACACACGCTAACTTACATTATACACGTCTGTACTTCTCTATGCTCACACGATCGACTACATGGTCTTAACGAGATACTGCTACGTTTCGGCTACAAACTGGATGTGATGAGTGAGAGCGCGACGAGACATGCTAAAACGAGTACTAGTCAACGATAACATTGCGCTGATACTCACCGAAGCTCAGCACTCAACAAACATAGATGTGGACAGTCGCAGATCTAACGCTAAAGTCTAGATGCTGACGCTGGGAATAGAGTCATCACTCCGAGTCTCCAGTTTAGGAGTCAGCAGACATCCGTAGAATTTGAATGTATGCTCGCCCGAAGTATCCAAAAAGAAAAGAAGTCAAAAGATCGTCACCTGTGCGATTCGAACACACGCGTGCAAAGCACAACCGCTAGATGCAAACCATGGATCAGGTAGCAGGCGATCCCGTTAACCACTCCGGCAAAGTGACTTGCTAAGGGGTTTAGCGTTTCCCTTTATATCAAGAGTATTGATGCAATTCTCTCCGTCTTGTCCCCTTCAACGAGTGACAACAGACCAACATCTCAAGACCACCGAGCCCTGACCGGGCGCTACTCACCCCGGATTTCAGCAGTGGTACTCGGACGACTCGCGCTGAGATAGATCTCGAACTGTTCTTTGATTATACTGTCATGCACCATCGTGTTGCAAACGTATTACAAGAACTAAAGAATACTCATCAGACGCCCTAGTTCGCAAGCACCGGCATCTGGGAGAACTTATACACCGTCGTCCACTCGAACGGCCTGTCCGGTCCATCTGCGCGCTCAAATCAGCCAATGCACGATCCTCGAAAGACGCAGGCGAACTTACAGATCTGATCCTGCCCAAACTCTGGCGTGTTGATGGCAGCGACGTACCCCTGCTGCTCAATCGCTACGCCTGCCCATGCGGAGTATACCTCCGACGGACCGCCATGCGCGGCCTTGCGGGGGGTGTTGAGCCACATGGCGGTGTACATCTGCACGGCGGCTTGGTTCGTGGCCATGTCGACTCTGGAGCGTGCGTGATGGTCAGGAGTGGCGACGAGTAGAGAGATGGAGGTTGACGCACCTGATTCCGGAGCTTTCGGACCAGAGGCTACTCCCGCTGCGCTTTAAAGTTTGCTTCTTGTCGTAGGCCCAGGTGTGGTCGTACCCCTTGCAGTCTGAGCTCAACGTCAGAACAATACTCGTCATACGGTGTACGAGGAGGGGAAACTCACAACCGCCGGCCCCACACAAGCCTTGCGTCTCCTCCCAGTACTTATCAATCGGCCTTTCCTTCCTGAAGTCGAATCGATGATCGTCTTTCACGTCGATGAACTCGCCGGTGGGAACACCGTTACCGTCGGTCGCAAGCACCCTGGACGCGTCCACTGGAAAAATCATAAGTTAAACGGTAGGCGAGGCATAGAGGAAGAACGTACTTCGAAGGCGGTGCTTGAGCGCAGTAGTGACATTGTTCTGGAACGCGTCCAAGTTCCAGTAGTTATGTTGCGTGACCATGATGGGCGTCTTCTCCGTCGCTGTAGCATAGACCGACGTCTTCAGAACACCCCCATTCGAAACCTCGTGCTTCGCCTACGCGCCACATGTCATCATCAGCAACTGCCAGCGTATAAAGTGTAACAGTACGCACGTAGACGATGACCTTTCCAGGGAACCCCTCATCTCCATCGTCGATGTGCTTGTAAGTAACGCTCGACGGTTTCTTCTCAGAGATGGTCCAGTTGCGGCGGTCCCAGCCGATGATACCGCCATGGAGAGTAACTTGGCCTTCAGCCGAGTTGGTGGGGATTTGGTATACGTTCGGGCCAGGAGGTTGCTGTTCCTTGGTTATAGGGATAGAGAACGAGCCTGTGGGGCGGAAGTACGGCGCAGTGAGTCGGGGTGTAACTCTGGTAAAATGGAGGGAGAGATGGTACCGTTCTTGATGCGGTTGGCGTATCTGTGTTAACTCATAAGTACGATCAACAAGAGGCAGACAGAAACGACGCACCTTCCGACGATGGAGTTGAACACCGGGTGATCAGGGTCCGTCAGTATCCTCGTCTGAATGTGACCCGTCAGCGAAGTCCTCGCTAGCAGGGGACGGAAAGTAACTCACAGGATCGTCATACCCCAAGATCACATCTCTCTTCTTCCCGAATGAGTCCCTCACCCACAGCTCCATCATCGTTGCGCCCACCGAGGCAAACTTGGCTGTGATAGACCCGTCTGGGGCAGACACGGTCGTTATGTCGAAGGGCTACGGTGTAACCAATTAGCGAGGGATAGCAACGTGGTAAGGCGAGTATCTTAACGTACCCAGTTGGCTGCTTGTTTAGGAGGCCTAGGTGCTGTCGCGTCGGACCCGGTGAACAGGGTACCGACCACCAAGGCGAGTTGAAGCCAATATGACGCAGTAATTCTACCCATTATGAACCTTCGAGTAGTGAGATTAGTCAAGTCAGAACAAGGAATCGAGAACATCGCCCTACTCACAACTGATCACTTGGGAGACGGAGGAAGGTGGGAGAAAAAGCGCGTCCAGAGAGTGAATGACCCGACTTATATACGACAAAGCGGGGTCATGAGAATTTGAGTGTTCTTCCGAATACCCGCGTGAAGATCAAATAGCACCGAGGATGGACCAATTTGCGACCAGCGCTAGCGTCCTAGGCGGGATAAACGTCGCGTAAGTTTGCCCGCTGCGCATGCGACGTTGAGACCAATGGTTCGATCTAAGCTCCGTTCCTGACGCTGAGGATGACTCCCGCACGTCGTCGGCTGTAGAGGTCGCAGCATCCAACAGCATCTCGACTGCAGTCCAATTGGATGGTGACGACAAGGGGACGGTAAAGTTACGCCCGGTGGTTGTTCGCTAGGAACCTCAGATGATGTTGTGTTGTGTTGGTGGTGGTGCTGGGGAAGCGATCAAAAGATCATGTGGGGAGGAGAGGGTTGAATTCGGGAAAAGCACGGCACATCCGAAGCCGGGGTAAGCGCCGGTCTTCACAGCAAATTCAACGCTTCAAGAAGGCGAGTCCCTCCTGTCTGAAGGGCGAGATGAGCAGTTGTCAGTTGCAACTGGTGCCTCGTCGGTGTAATTACGAATGACACGTCCACGAGCATCGATGCCATCCATTGAATAGCCATCTTCAAATCCTCAAAACCAACTCAACGAGGAGAACTCAGGACGAAGACGAAACAAAGCATAATATCCAGTTAAATTATCCCAAAAGAAACCAAGCTACTACTACACAGCAGTCTGAGTAGAGAAGTACATCGCCTTAAAGCAGACAAGTAGTAATCCCTACTCCGAAACCCTCTAGCACTTCAAACTCCTATGCAATTCAAGCGCAAAGCAAGAGTAGTTATCCGCGTTCCTCTTCTTATCCGCAACCGAGAGGTTCTTCGATCCAGGGCACCCGTAGACGACGTCGTTGGAGCCGAACACGGCGTGGGTGAGCTACGCGGGGTCAGAACGTCAGCAACTGCTATCCTTGGTGGAAGAGGGCTGGAGAGACTAACCTCGTGAAGCATGACGTTCGCGCGTCCGAAGTTGATCGTGCTCGAGCCGCAGATAGCGCTGAGGGGCTGCGCGCTGAAGAAGGAGTTGCAGAAGTACGCCTGAAAGACCGCGTAATTAGTCTACGATTCAAAGAGATCAGGCTTGGTCGTAAACTCACCTCGCTGCTGATCGTGTTTCCTCCACTCGTCACACGCAGAACGTACGCAACGACACCCCCACCGCTGCACGCACCACCAGCCCTATCCACGCAATGCAATCTGAGCCAATCCCCATCGTCAGCTTCATTCATCCCTAACACATCAAGAGGAAAAGTGATGAGACGCACCCCCTGTTCCCAGACGACGCCAAGTCCCCAGCAACCCGATCAAAGTTATACCAAAGGTCATCCCTGTTCGCGTTCCCGAAGTAGGTGTTCAACCTCGCCGAATTAGGCGACTGCCTAATATTCGCCGCCGCACCCCCCGCCACGGCCCTCGCCTCGCTCAACGACGCAGCAAGGAAGTTCCTCCTGTTCGTATCGCTGCACACCGGCGTCGAAGTTCTCAGGCCAACAGAGCCAGCGTCCTCGGGGAAGACGAAGCGCTTGGATACGTCGTCTGTAACTTCGACGGAGACGGACTCTGACTCAGCAGCGGAGAAGTAGGTGAGCTCTGAAGCTTCGGAGACTTGGAAGTTGGTGATGGTGGAGAAGGTGAAGGTTCCGGTGCCGGAGGACTCAAAGTCGTAGGAGGCTGCGACGGTGTGGTTTAGGGCGATGGATTGGCCGGCGGGGATGGTGATGAAGGCGGCGTCGTCGGAGGTGTCGGGGATGACCTAGGTAAGGAGGATTTGTGAGCATGTACTTGCGACGATGAGATGGAATGAATGCTCACGTCAATACCGGTAAAGTCGACGTCGGCGTCGCCTTTCTTGACCTTGAACGCCTTGGTTGGTAGTTCATCGAGGATAGTACCGAACTTGACGACCTTGATATCCTCAGAGGTGGGGTTGGAAACGACGGCGGTCAAGATGATGTCGTCAATGGAAGACACGGTGGAGGAGACGGCGCTGAGCTTGACGGTCAGGTCACCGGTGGAGAGCCCAAGGGCGACAGCTGCGAGAGAGACGAGAATGGCGGAGCGGCTGAGCATGATGTCGATGAAAGAGGAGGAAGTGAGAAGGAGGGAAGGGATGGTGCCAATCTGGAGGGTACTACTTGACCTTTATACGCCTTGCATCGAGCGGAGGACGGAAGAACCGCATGGGTGTACAGCGACGAAGTCGGGACCCACGGTAACGCATCCTCTCCATCTGAGCAGATGTCGACCTCCCCACCGAGGCATTCAGCGCATCATGGTCTGTGACTCTGGAAGAAATGCGCTTCAAAGCAACTTCCAAGTCAATGGGATGAGAGGCACAGCCGGCCGAGAACCCCTTCTCGTGAGCGGGGTCTACACAGAGCCCCGGATGCTATCCAGTGCTAGTGGGTGTACGATCTGCACTCGCGTGAAAGAGTTCGCCGAGTCTTTGATGGAGACATCTGTAGCGATGCGCATGTAGCTGCGATTGAACAACCTTCCCCGTGCTTGTTGTACGATTCAGGATCAACTTGAAGGAGAGTTCAGGATGTACATTGTACATAGTAGATAGACCCAGGCGTTGTTCAGCTGCGTGATGAAGACGACCAGTAACGCCTGGACAAATGCGACGTGCGCACGCTACTGTTGGCCATTCGGATAGAGCTGTGAGATGCTGGACTTCGTGACGACAGCTTGAAGAGAGTACCTATGGAACGCATCCGTAGTCAGTGAGGTTACAATTGGGCCTTGTTTAGTTGCAGTCGATCGGCAAGAGTACGTCTGAATCGACACGCGCGTGCCGACTGATACCATGCGAGTATCATGACAGTCGCCGCGAAATGATCAGCGCACAGCGTTAAGAGTCAGGACGTCCACA